GTGCCACAGTGAGCATGACCGCACAACTCTGCCTGGCTTGGGACGGCCAGCTCAGTGGGGTAAGCACTTGCCTCCTAAGCATGAGCCCCACAGACCCACAAAAAGCCAGATGCTGTACGATGCCTAATTCCAGCACTCCTGTAGTGAGATGGGAGGTGAGACAGGGGAATCCTGGAAGCTCAAGGAGTGGGCTAGCCTGGTGTACTGAGCAGGAGACAACAGGAGTTCTCCACGGGGTAAGAAATGACACCGAGTCTGTCCTCTGACCTCCAGATGTGCTATGACAAGTGTAAGCCTGAACTCACAAGTGTGTGCACACACAAAGATAAAATAAAAGAGAATTTGAAGGTGTATATAAAATATTTCAATAAAGTTACAATAAAAATGCATAAACAGTATGCAGTGGTTTGAATAAGAATGACCCCTGGGCTCGTGTCTGAATGCTCGGCCACTGGGGGTGGAACTCTTTGAAAGGACCCAGCCCTCAGCTCCTTCTCCAGCACCACGACGGCCATACCTGCTGCCATGCCGTGCTCTCACCATGATGACAATGCACTAGCCCTCCGAAACTGTAAGCCAGCCCCAAATATTTTCCTGTATAAGAGTCACCATGGTCATGGTGTCTCTTCACAGCAGAACAGTGACTAAACACAGTGCAGTGACATTGGATTTGAAGTTATTTCTGAGACTGATTCTCCTCAGTTACACCAGAGGATGAATAAAGTTATAAAAACCACTACAGATGAGCGCTAGCAATACTGGATTTAAAAAGAAAGTTCCAATGTACACTTGACCCCAGCACCTGCTCTTTGGACAGAAGAGAGACCGGTCACCCTCCTGTGAGCACACAGAAAAGCAGCATGGATGGGATAATCCCCTGGTGCTCAGAAAAAGAATATTGAAGGGCTGTGACCTGCCCAGCCCATCCATATGGGGCTGTCTTCGTCGCCCCTCCTCATGCATGCACAGATGTGTGCTGCACACAGCCTCCTGGAAAACTTAGGAACCCACATTTGCAACAACGGCTCTAATGAACTAGAGCACCTTCTTGGCTCATCTAGTTCAACTTGCTATTCCTATAAAATACTACATAATACAAATATGTAGATCTCCTATGTAAAGACAGAAAAGAAAAACACAGGTGCCTATGAGAGAAGCTGCACACACAGAACACGTATGTGGGTGTGTTAGCAGAGGGCAGAGAAGGGTGGAGGAGGCAAGAGGGAGGGAAAGAGGTCTGGACGCAGGAGTCAGTCTGAGACTGTAAGGAGGACAAAAACGGAGTAGAGCGATGCAGAAAGAGATGGGAGCTGGAAGGAGTAAACACATTAGAATTGTGGGACGTCCAATTCCACTCCTCTCCCTTCCCACATCTACAGTTCACTATCTTTACTCTACCAATGAATAAAACAAGCTCGTGTTACACTGGGAATGGAGTCATGGCACACTACACACATGCAAACACCCATAAAATACCACTGACTGGATCCATCCCTACTAAGTATAAGTATTGAAAACTAAAAAAAGGACTCTTTTAGTTCATGAAATGTAAGTTTCATTTTCCTTTTCATTAAGAATGCTATGATAGGGGCTGGAGAGATGGCTCAGTGGTTAAGAGCACTGGCTGTTCTTCCAGAGGACCTGAGTTCAATTCCCAGCACCCACATGGTGGCTCACAACCACCTGTAATGAGATCTGGCGCCCTCTGCTGGCCTGCAGGGATATGTGCAGACAGAGCACTCATAACAAACAAACAAGTGAAGAGGAATGCTATGACAGGACCAGGGAGATGGCTCGGGGTGAGGTGCTGGTCACCATGCTTAAAGACCTGAGTTTGATCCCTGGAGCTCACACAATCAAGGAGAGAACGAGCTTCCCCACGAGAACCTCCACATGAGTGCAATACACTTGACCCACCCTCCACGGGGAACTCAGAGTAAAAGCTTTCTGGTATTTGGTTCTTGCATTTCTCTCTGCGCTTGGTTTTGTGGTGTTGGGATCGAGCCTAAGCCCTTCTTACATATGTTAGGCAAGCACCCCAGCACTGAACCACATCCTCATCTCTTCAATTTGACAGTGTTGGAACATAAAGCACTTTTCCAAAGAAAAACAGGCTCTAAGCTCTAAGTTATTCTCAACCTTTCATTCTGCTCAACTTTTGAAAAGTAGCCAAGCACGAGAACAGTTACGTGTGTGCATTTGTATCAGGTAACAGGAACGCTTGTCTGTTGGCAGAGTCTTACTGCAGGGTGGCCTTGAAACTGCCACATAAACGAGGACCTTGAACTTCTGCTCCTTCTGCACCCACCTCCCAAGTGCTGGGTTGACAAGGCGTGCATAGCCACACCCAGCCTGCAGTGTTTCAAGCAAACTGAGGCCCTGTGCATGCAAGGCAAGCACTCCATCAGCTGATCGGTAGAGTGCCAATGATAATCTTAAAGTAAGTACTATTCAAAAAAAGATTAAGCTAACTGTTACTTTTTTTTTTTTTTTTTTTTTTTTTTTGGTTTTTGGAGACAGGATTTCTCTGGATAGTTTTGGTGCCTGTCCTGGATCTTACTCTGTAGCCCAGGCTGTCCTCGAACTCACAGAGATCCACCCGGCTCTGCCTCCCGAGTGCTGGATTAAAGGCATGCGGCACCAACACCTGGCCACATTCTTATTTATACACTGGTCACTTGTCATGTCAACTGACCCAAGCTTTAGCAAAGAGCTGTCTAGTTCAGAGAGTAAATAAAGCTATCCCATTGACATAAATAGCAGGGGTTTAATTACCAGTAAAATAGCTACTCAATTAACAGATACTCATGATTATCTGGTATTATAGCAACTAACTTCTCCCAGAACGAAACAGTAGTAACATACAACTATGCTCTTACTTCACTGTCTTCTGTAACCACTACTTGTTCATACTGTTGGAGGAAATGCCAGATGTAAAAACAGAAGCAATGTTCTTTCACAGTGTTCAAAGCATTTATTGCCGTTAAAAGAAACATGGTCACAAACCTTGCTGAAGAGGCTGAGTGTTTACACTGGGATTCTGACTAGCTGGCTGGGCTGAACTACTGGCTGTTGTGGCGGTAACAAGTCGGACATAATGAAACTTGCTTCCAGGCACTTGGATCTGCTGGACATTGGGAGCAGTTGCCAGAGGAATGATGGTCTTAAACTGTGATGTGTTCATCCCTCCAACAGTGATGGTCTGCACAGCTGATTTCACTGCCTGTCAAATAATACAGAACATGTCTACCATTAACCTGTTAACTTATGACAGTCACTAAGGTAAGTAACAGAGTGTGCTCTTAAGTCTCGACAACTTGTTCAGAAAGAAATGAAAAAGACTATTCAGCTGGAGCTGGAGAGATGATGGCTCAGGCGATAAGCTCTCTCCAGAGGACCAGAGTTTGGTCCCCAAGTTCAATGTGAGGCAGCTCACAACTACCTGCTGCTACTCAATTTCCAGGGGATCCAACGCCCTCTTCTACCTGCCCAGGCACCTGCACTCATTCGCACAAAACCACACACACACACACACACACACACACACTCAAAAATAAATCTTAAACTCAGGAGAATTTGAAGAAGAGCAGGAAGGGAGATATGGGAGGGCTTAGAGAAAGGAAAGGAAAGAGAAAAACATTGTAATTATATTATAGTCTCAAAAATTTAAAAAAAACTAAAACTGAAAAAATGCAAGAATGCACACAATTTTGTTGCTATTAGGTAACATTTATGACAAAGTTATCTTTTTTTGACTCTCAGAATTAGAAAGAGAATACAGATGTTTTTGCCAAATAAACTAACTACATTGTTTTTTTATTGAATATGTTCTAAAGAAGGACCATTCTATTCCCATATCAAGTTTAGTTGATTTTGAAAGGCTACAACACCCACCACCCTGCTACACAAACCTATGGACATGATGCCAAATACAGTTCAAAATTATTCCAACCAATGGTTGTCTAGAGAAACTAACCAATTTTGGGCATAACAAATCTGAGTAAAATTTTAAAAATCGTTTTAATAATTTTCTCTACCAGATAGTAAGCTGAGACCTCCTGGGAAGCAAATGAAATTTCAGAAGCAGCTCAGAAAACAACTAGTCTCATGAGATGTCCCTAATTTACGTGTGACTCATGTTTAACACACTGTCCATACAAGCCAAGGTGAACTGGGTGTGGGCGGTGGACACTTGGCAACCTCAGCAGTGAAGAAGCTGAGGCCAGATGGTGAGTTTGTCAAGGCTGCTGCGGTGACACATTGAAACCCTACTTAAAACAATAAATAAATAAAATAAAGGCAGTTTAATCTCTTGTAGTATATTAGCTCATAAAAGATTACATATACCCCCACTTAAGTCTACAGAAAGGCCTCACACAGACAACTGCCAGATGACAATCTAAATTCACCTATTCACACTTTTTTTTTCTATCTCATAGGGCAGAGCTCAGTAGTACAGTGCTTGTTTAGTATTTGAGTGGCCTCAGGCCTGATTCACAGCACTGCAAAACAAAACAAATTTTTAAAAATGGGGGTGGAGATAACCAAAGAGACAGTTCAGTAGTCATGAGCACTTGCTGTGGGACGGTCTGTATGTCAAATTGCTCTGATTGGTCAATAAATAAAACACTGATTGGCCAGTGGCCAGGCAGGAAGTAGGTGGGAGAAGGATAGAGGAGAATTGTGGGAAGCAGAAGGCTGAGGCAGAGAGACACTGCAGCCACCGCCATGACCAGGAGCATGTAAAGACGCCGGTAAGCCACCAGCCATGTGGCAAGGTATAGATTTATGGAAATGGATTAATTTAAGATAAAAGAACAGTTAGCAAGAAGCCTGCCACGGCCATACAGTCTGTAAGCAATATAAGTCTCTGTTTACTTGGTTGGGTCTGAGCGGCTGTGGGACTGGCAGGTGACAAAGATTTGTCCTGACTATGGGCAAGGCAGAAAAACTCTAGCTACAAGCACTTGCTATTTTCTCTCCCCCTCCCCCTTCCCCAGTGATGCTGCAGAGTGTCTTCCAATCGCCAGCTACTGAGCAAACTGGGAATGCAATGGGTACCTCTGCTCAACTTGCTCTCCTCCTGTTTCTGAAGTTGGCAGAATTCTAGCCACTCTAGACGCAATCTCAAGAGGCCAGCACTTGCGGAGGACCTGGCTCACAACTCTCCTTTATAATTCCAGGTCCAGGGGACCTGAGGCCCTCTTCTGGTTTTTGTGGGTACCAGGTATATACACAGTGCACAGACATACAGAAAGGCAAAACTCTCATACACATACAAAGAAAGTGTTAATAACAAAAACTCAGACCTTTTCATTGTTAAACTTTTCTTTATCTTAAGCTTGAAGCTACCACTCTTATAAGCTATCCCTAACTGGTTTCCAACTGCCTAAGTCGGATCTGACTACATTTTAAATCAGTATACAAATCTGTCTCCACTTTTAAAGCACATATCTATTATTATTATATATTATGTGTGGTTATGATGTGTCTGCCTGGGTAAGGACAGACACATGTGTGCCATAACATGGACCTGGAGGTCAGAGATAAGAGGGTTGGAGTCAGTTTTCTTCCTGGTGATCAGCTCAGGTTGCCAAGACCTGTACAGCCAGCACTTTAAGCCACTAAGGCATCGCTGGCCCAAGTCTATTCACATGTCATTCATACAGTCACATAATTCATTTCAAGCACTCACTGCAGTCTCCTTTCAAATAATTTAACCTTTTGTTGTTTCTCTCTCTCCTTTTTTGTCTTCTTTGGGCTAATATTCCATGAGCTTTGGGAATGTTGCTCAGTGCTACCGTCCTTACTGGCCTGGCATGTACAAGGCCTAGACGTGGCCCTGACATCTCACACACAAATGTCTTATGGCACTAGTTTTGCACATCTACAAACTTACTTTTACTGTCCTGTTTTCTTTATGTTTCTTACTTTACCTTTTGCCTCAAGAATTCACTGTGGGATTTTCTTAAATGTGGGTCTATTGACAGGAAATTCAAAAAGGAAGGAAGGAGCTTTGTTCTTACTATGCATCTAAACTGCTGAATTCTTAATCTCAGTTTAAAGTTTTTGTTTGAAGATCTTCCTATCAGGTCTAAGGATATAGTTCAATGGTCAGGCACTTGTTGAACATATGTGAGGCTCCCAGCAAACTGTCCTGATTTCCATGCACACTCCAACACAAACACAAGCACACACACACAATACACTGTAATAAAAATTAAAACAAAACACCAACAAAAAACAAAATACAAATTCAGAGAACTCAAAGGATCCTACTCTAGTTCACTCTTACTGGTTTATAGCAGAATACAAGGAAGATAACATCCTTTCTCTTCAAATTACACAGAGGCCTCACAGCATAAGTGACCACCTTTGGGGCCACTTCTCAAACTCGGTGCTAACCTTCAGCTTTGCTGTACTGTCACCGCTCAGATCACTTCCTTCCAGATGTTTGTACAACACCCAGAACTGGTTTCAGGAGCCTTCGCCTGCCCCGTCTGCCAGTCAGACACTAAGTGACTAGCATTCTCTGACTTTAGCACCTCACTGCAGGTGCATACCTCCTTCTAATTAGGAAGGCAACTAGTCCTAAACTTGCTTTGTTTTGTAGATTATTCATCATCTGACCCTGTTTATTTCCTCTCCATTCCAAGGCATTACCACCTCGAATCACAGTGGCTGTAACATGTTCATCATCTCCAGTCCTGTGCTCTTGTGGCTGACGTCTATCCCAGAAACACATCTACATGAAAACATAGCTCAGGCCAGTGTTCCCATGCTGGGACACATCCTCCAGTGTTCCCCACTGGAGCTGATGCACCATTGGAGCTGGTGCTCTTGTTCCACCATGTGGGTCCCCAAAACCAAGCTCAGGTGCTCAGGTCCTCAGGTCCTTCCCTGGCAGGAGGAGCCTGCCCTGCTGAGCCATCGACCCACCCCTTTTATCTTTTCTTGATTTTGAAATTTTATGTTTGTACCATTATTTGGCTCATTGTTAAAATAATATTTTCTTTACCCTACATAGACCTTTAGGTTTCATATATCCACCTTTCCCTCAAAAGAGTACTGCCCTAACTAACATACAGTAGGCCTTCAGTCTATGCTTCTAAGTGGTGGGTGAACACTAGGACGTACCTATCCCTTTTCTTTCTTTTTCACATCTTCTTTCCTTATGTTGGAAAACTAGTTGGGGCTAGAGAGATGGCTCAGCAGCTAAGAGTACCGTCTGCTCTGGAGGAAAACCTGGTTCTGTTCCCTGGACTCAAAGCAGCTCCCAATCATCCCTACTCCAACTCCAGGGGATCCATCTTAGTTAGGGTTTCTACTGTTGTGAAAAACACTATAACCAGAGCAACTGGAGGAGGAAAGAGTTCGCTTCATTTTACAACTACACATCACAGTCTACCAACAAAGGAAGAAGGACAGGAACCCAAGGCAGGAACCTGGAGGCAGGAACTGAAGCAGAGGCCATGGAGGAGTACTGTGGAATATTAAGTTGCATTCTTTTGTTTTGTTTTGTTTTCTGAGACAAGGTTTCTCTGTGTAGCTTTGATGCCTGTCCTGGATCTCACTCTGTAGACTACCTGGCCTCAAACTCAGAGACTTGCCTGCTTCTGCCTCCTGAGTACTGGGATTAAAGGCGTGTGCCACCGCCGCCCTGCAAATTGCATTCTTTTTTGTTGCATTTGTTTAACTCTGTGAAGCTATGTTATTTTGCCTGTCTAAAATACATGATTGGTCTAATTAATAAATAGCTGAATGGCCAATAGCAAGGCAAAAGAATATATAGGCAAAGAGAATATATAGGAGGAGAAATCTGGGAAGAGAAGATCAAAGGAGTAAGAAAAGGAGAGAGGGCACCAGAGGCCAGTCACCCAGCTACCCAGCAAACCACAGAGTAAGAAGTAAAGAAAGGAATCTAGAATAGAGAAAGGTAAAAGCCCAGAGGCAAAAGGTAGACATAATAATTTAAGAAAAGCTGGCTAGCAACAAGCCAAGCTAAGGCCGGGCATTCATAAGAAAGACTAAGTCTGTGTGTGATTATTTGGGAGCTGGGTGGCGGCCTCCCAAAGAGTAAAAACAGCTAACAACAGAGGGGTGCTGCTTACTGGCTTGCTCCTCATGGCTTGCTCAGCCTGCCTTCTTCCTTTATCTTTTTTAAATTTCCTTTTATTGAAAATATATTTTTTCTCACATAATATATTTTGGTTATGGTTTCCCCTTCCTCTACTTCTCCCAGTTTCTCCCCATCTCCCGCCAATGGGGATCTATCTCTCCTGTCTATCTCTCATTTAAAAAGAAATGCTTCTAAGAGATAAAAATAAAACATAACATAGCAAAATATAATTAAGATTAAAACATAAACAATCATATTAAACAAGACAAACACAAGGAAAAGAGCCCAAGAGAAAGCACAAGAATCAGAGACCCACTCATTCTCACATTCAGGAATCCCATAAAAACACTAAACTGGAAGCCATAATATATATGCATAGGACCTGGCACAGACCTGTGCAGGCCCTGTGCATGTAGCCTCAGTCTCTGTGAGTTCATATGAGCTTTGCTCATGTTGATTTAGAGGGCTTTGTTCTCCTGGTGTCCTCCATCCCATCTCTGGCTCTTACACTCTTCCTGCCTCCTCTTCCACGTGGTTCCCTGAACCCTGAGGGGAGGGATTTGATGGAGACATGCCCATTTAGGGCTGAGTGTTCCACACCCTCTAGGTAAGGTCTGTTTGCAAGTCTCTGCATTTGCTCCGACCTGCTGCAGGAGGAAGCTTCTCTGATGATGTCAGCCTGCTTTCTTAAACCACCCAGGACCATCTGCCGAGGAGTGGCACTGCCCCAGGGAGCAAGGTCTCTCACACCAATCAAGAAAAGTCATTATAGCCAGGCATGGTAACCCAAACCTACATAAAGCAGAAGCAGGTCAATTCCTGAGTTCGAGGCCAGCCTGGTCTAGAGTAAGTTCCAGGACAGCCAAGACTACACAGAAAAATCCTATCTCAAAAAAAAAAAAAAAAA